AAGATGGCGTCCCCTGCAGCCGCGCAGGCAGGCCGGCTTCTGCGAGACCTGGTGCTCCGGCCCCGGTTCTTGGTTCCCGGGTCTCAGGTGAGCGCCACCTAACCAGGTCCCCGCGCTCTCCTACTCCTGTCTCCTGCTTCTCCTGATGCGCCGCCCCTCGGTGCCCCACACGCAACGCTGCGCCCGGCTCAGGGGAAATCGGATCCCCATTGGGGTGTGGGGACGGGCCGAAGGGGTCCACAACCCGGAGTCTCAGTGTGAAAGACCCAGCTTTCCGCGCATGTGGCACCCCACGGCTCCCGGTGCCCATGCCTGACCCAGAACCAGGCGCTGAACCCAAGTTTGAGAAAAGTTCCTCGGTTTTGGAATCCTGAGGTTTTATTATCAGCTCCGCTAGTCGTGTTTGTGCAAAATGTGTGACCTGGAACTCATTTCTCAGGCCACGTGGTGAACGGGCTTGCAGCTCGGGCAGCTTGGTCCGTGTTTAGCAACTCGCCTTGCTGCGTGAACTTTCCTCACGGAATGTAGTAACACCTGCTGTTGCAGACTTCAGTGGATGTGTGAGTTGGGGAAAGAGTAGGGTCAAAGAGCTAGGTGGGAAACACTTTCCTCTTTAAATGCACAGCCCCCAAACACGGAAGACCTTTGGCTATACTTTCTGGATAACAAAACCAGAGATGGATAGTGGTGGACATTGAAAGTCATTCCAACTTCTGCAGTAGATTTTACTGCTACAGGTGGCCAGCTTCAAGTGGTGAGAAATCTGCTGGGAAAATTTTGAGTTGGTGATGACTTTTGGAGAAATCACTCAGCTAGTGGACATCTTAGTTTCCATAAACTCCTTTCTTTGAAAGAAAGGATAACCCGAGGCCCAGTCAACATCAAGTGAAGCCCTTGCCCATTTCTCCATGTTTAATTAATGCGAGGCAAATTATTGCACATTCAGGTTTAACCAGGACTTGAAAAGTATAGCTTTTATGAAAAGCAAAAAAAAAAGCTAATGATGTTTTGAGTTTTTCTAAGCTTTGGTTAATTATGACATATGTGATCCCCCCTTTCATTTTCTGACGTCTCATTTTTATTAATGTAACTTTACAATGTGCTAATACTTACTATAATATCCTTTGTAGGTGCTTGACAGTATGGTGAAGTAGCAAAAGGAATGGTGTTTTTGTCTAATTAAAACCACTAATAACAGGAAGGTGAACTTCAATTGAGAAACATTAGGGTCATGGAAATTGTACAGAGAAAAGTAAATTTGACATACTAAGCTGAAGTTTGTCTTCTTGGCTATCCAGAAAGTGGAAGGAAGCCTGACACAACACTTGGGAGAGATGGGTTGGGTGTAGGTGCCCTTGCTTTGGCAAGAAGGCTTGGTTAAAAGGTCTGTTGCTTCACTTTGACTTCTGGAGTTAAGGATGAATTGTTATCCTGTGAACACAAATTCAGAAGATGTGAACTATGTTTTTTTCTTTTTTAAAGATAGCAGTTGTACCTAGTATCCAGGAAGCAGAAATGAGCATTGTCAAGAGCTCATTTCATGGGTAGAAAAATTAAGTGACTTGTTCAAGGTCTGTGGCAAAGCTAATTACAGAGTGGAAACTTATCTTCAGGTTTCCTTTGTACTAGGCTGCTGTCTGGTTAGTATAGGTTTCCTCATGAAAATATATTATGTCAACCTTTAAATTAATCTATCAGAAACTATGCAACATCCAAAACACCTTTTTTTTTCCCCTTTATAAACGTCTTGGAATTGTCATTGGACAGGAAAATATGGATTGTGACTTGTAAGGAACTTTATTTTCAAGTCTCTGTAGGATTTGATAATGTTATCTGCCTAGCCCCTTGCCCATAGCTGGAATTAGAGTTAGTTGAACATAATTCACTTTCTCCCCCAAATTTAAGAATCCTTGCCAAGCATCTTAGAAATCTCTTGCCACTCTTGGCCCTGGCCTACTTTGCTCCAGGCCTTATGAAAAGCTATACAAAGATAAAAGCAAAGATTTTTTGCTTTTAGAAGCAACTTTAACTGATTTCACAGAGATATCCATAGGTAATGTTTATCCCTTCCCTGTCATTAAATTTAACATTTGATACATATTCCTGGAGCCTAATGTCATTGAAAGATTTTTTTATTTTATTAGTTCTGGCCTTAGGTTCATTGTTTTTACTTTGGATGTTTATGAGATCCAGGACATTTGAGATCATTTTTGACCTTTGAGCTGAAGGACAAAAGCAGTCAGTCAGGTGAGACTCTGGGAAAGCTGTGTTAGGCTGGACAGATTGAAATGTAAAGGCACTGAGGTGGGAGTGAGCTCCATAGCTCTAGTCAGTTAAGGTCAAGAAAGTGTCAGTGCATGAAGTCTGATAGGGTCAAATCACGTGGAGACTTGCAGGATCTGTCTGACAAAAACTGTTAAGGACATTTAAATGACTTATACAAAATTATATACCTAATTAAAAAACTGGATTTGAGTCTCAGCCGTGGCTGCTGCAACACAGCCATATAATTACTGTACTGTACATATTTCCTGTTATAGCTCTGAAGTAGCCTGGCTTTGAAACTTTTAGGGGAGTAGCAGGCAGTAAACTCAACACTTTGGTAAATGTCTAAGCATTGTGGATCTTTCCAGAAACCCACATCCTGACAGACAGGTGAACAGTGTGCTGTTGTACTCGGTGACATAATACAGGAAAGCCGCTGTATGATGAGTGCAGAGAGGAGCCCATGTGCCTGTCTGTTTTGGACGCATGTTGGCTGAGAACATTGAGTTTGAGATGTTCGTGATTCTAAGTACTTACGTGGCCTTTTAGGACATAGCTGTTCTTTTTGCAGGTAGCATAGCTGTTGTGGGAAACACTGCCTCTCCGGCTCCCAACTTTAAAATCAGTATTGTACTGTAACGTCATGTAACTCAGTAGTGTCCCAAATTTTCTGATCAAGGAGATTATGGGGCCAAAGAGGAAAGTGATCGATGATGTAGAGTGTGCCTAAGGAGAGTACCATGGAGAGAAAACATTCTCTCAGGCTTTCACAGAGACCACATTGGCCAAGCAATGGCCGTGACTCATCCATGTGGCTGACACTGACAAAGGATCTACAATCTGAGGTGCAGGATCTCAGGATAAATCCTGAGGGGATTTCACTGACCTTATCAGACCCAAAAGCTACAACTTTTGTTGCATAGGTCTTGCTTTATCTTGGTCTTAACCATCCAGCAGAAAAGTATAAAAATGAAATATAAGAAGTAAAACCAAGCTGTTATGTTGATCTGTAGGGGACTCACATCAACAATTTCTGACATTGCCAGTCAAGCGGAAGACCCAATACTATTATGGGCTACTGGACTCTTTTAGAATATTTTGCTGAGTTTACACACCTATAATATTCAAATAACGGAACTTAATAAAAAAAAGGGGATACAGATGAATCTCCATTTTTTTATCTGTGTATTCGAAGTGGTTAGGATAGATATATAGTTACATTCTCTTAATGAATAGAGTGATTTGTTCTAATGGTGTTTGTAAGTAGGATATCATGTCCGCATATTGTACAGCAATTAACCACTAGGATGAATGTTTGCAATGTGTTAATTATTGAAACTGTCCAACCAATTTGATTTGAAACTGTCTCATTGCTATTTTTTATCAATAAAATTATGGAAAAAATATAAAAAAAATAAAATCAGTATTGTGTGGATCCCTGCGAAGTGCAGAGGCAAATGTATTGTCAAAGGAAACTGCCTACTCTTGAGTCCCTGTGGTTGCATATTTCAGAAAGAATGGTTCCAGTTTAATTTTCTGTTCATTTGGGAAAAAGTGGGAGGAGAAAAGAAGTGGGAGGACATGCAGGAGCCCAGCTTTTGTAAGTAAAGCGCTAGCTAAAGTTTATGTATAAGTACCTATGGGCAAAATGAGCTTGTAAGGGAAGCGTTACAGTTGTAAATCTGCCTCATTACCCTGGAGAACAAAGATCTGACTTTTTTTTTCTTTTTTAAAATGAAGTACAAATGCAATTTGTAATATTAAAAAAGGGAATCCATTTCAAATAATTTAGATGCTAACCTCTTGACCTTCCCTGTGGGGAAGACCATTTAGTGATAGCTCATGTCTGATATTAGCTTTGTTTACTGTAAATGAAACATTTCTTTTATGAGTGAGTGAGCGCATAGGTCCACAGTAGCGAGAACTTTGTTTCCCTTGTTTCCTGATAGAGTGAAGACCAAAGTCACTGAAATTTGTTATAATGGGGGAGGAAAATAAATTAAAGGAGCATCCTCAGATCATTTGACCTTCACCTCTTTACTACTCAATCTTGAATTGTCACTTGGTATAGTACTTTATGTACTGGATGGTAAAGTTTTGCCTGACAAACCATGAGAAATTTGTACACATTTGAACAAACAATAAAAGCAGCATGCTGATAAAATTTGGACATTAATATTGGAAGTTTGTCAGAAAAGGTGGTGGTGATGGAGATGGTTTTCTGTGTAGAATAGACGGTATGTAGCTCATTGCAAGCAGTTTAGTATGGAGAAGGAGGAGGCAGTGACAAGTTGAGAGCTGCAGAGCGCCTACAACTTGGCTGCACATACAACTCCACAGCTGAATAACCAAGCAAATACCATTCACGTAGCCCTGTGGTTTGAATACTTAAATGTGTATAGCTAATGCTAAGCTTCCCAAAGGCAGAAAACTTACAGAGTTACCTATTTACTGTAAATTCATGGTTCAGAATGATGGGAGGTGGGTGCACTTAGGCAAAATGGCTGCATGAGTACAGAGAAAGGGACACATGTCCTCATCCCCAGGGGCCCCAGGCTCATGCCAAAATTGGCATGTAAGCTAGTGTTACAGTACAACACAGAGATACATAGCTGAGCAATGGTCTTCATCCACCAAGCTACTGTGTTTGTGTCAACATTGGCCCTTTGCACAGTGCTGAGTAAATGTTCATTCTCGCAGTTGGCCTTTCTCTAATGATCTTCTTAAGTCCTCTCTTCAGGGATTATTATTACCTTTTTTTCTTAACTTATTGTACTCCTAAAACTTAACTTTACTTGGTGTTATTTGCTTACTCTCCTTTC